AAATATAATAAAATAAGAATATTGAATGTTGACTACATTAATTTTTTAGTTATTTATGTTGAGAAAGGTAAAATTTTGAAATAAAATGGATGATAAGTTTTTACAAATAAGTTAGTTGTTTCTATTAAAAAAGATATTACCATTGTCGAACAAAATTTTCTTAGAGCACTATTATAAGTTTTTTTTTTTAATTTTTTTATTTACATGTTATATAAAATTATTGTCTATTATAAATCTTTTGATTATTAATAGTTAAGTTCAATATATTAATTTTAAAAATTTTTAATTTTTATTTTTCTTAGCCTTTAACCTTCCAATAAAATTTGGTTAACTTCGGTCCTGTAGAGAAAGTAATCATTGTGCTGATTTTTTACAGTAAGAAGAGTGGATGATACGTGAGTTGCATGGTCTTGACTTTAATCACATATTTTTTGTCCTTGTGCTTTCAAGGAAATGGAATGGAGGGAGCATAAAATTTAGATTTTGTAAGAAAAATCCCAACAATTAGAATTTGAGAGTCCTATTTAAGTCTTGGGTCTAAAATTTGAAAATAGAAGATTGATAGTATGAGATATGAGAAAACTACATCCCATCGTTAATGTATGTGCATGTATGTACTAAAAAAAATTGAGATAATATTTAGTTGTTATTTATATTATTTGTTTGAAGAATTTTAGCAATAAAAATAAAACATACTTCTAGATGCAAAATCAAATAATATTTTTATAACATTGTAATGAAAAGCTTTTAAAATTTGTGGATTAAAGAGATACACAAGTTTACTCGATGTGAAGAAACTATAAATGCTCAATTAGTTGCTACACTACTGTCAAGATAATTGTTAATTCAATTTTAGTCAAATATCATTTTTACTATTCTTAATTTAACTTTACTCATACTGCCTATGTATTTTATAATATAATAAATAGCTACAGGTGAACAAGATCACGAGTAACACGTTCCTAGCTAGCAGATAAAATGTCCTGAATACAATTTCGTACGAAAGCAACATCTTGCCAGGAAATGTTTGGGTAAAAGTTACAAGAAAATTAATGAGTGCATTGAATAATGAAAAAAGTGTCAACCTCAATTTATTTATTTATTTCTTTTGTGATATTTGAGTGTCAATTTACATGATTTTGCTGTGAGATTGAAATCTTTGAATTTGAAAGAAGAGAATTTAAATTTGACTTTTTAAATAAAAAGATACATGTATTTACATGGAGACGATTGCTTAGTGTTTAAAAATATCCTATATTATTGCTTGACTAATAATATATTATTTTAAATATGACTGAAAATATTGTTTAATATATTTAATACTTAAGCTTTATTTAATTGATGCTCTTCTTATTTGTTCTGTTTTCTTCAGAAAGTAAATATAAGTAAAAATAACTTACAAAAGCAAATAATACTCTTAGGAGAATTGTACATAGAATATGTGATTTTATTAGATGCTAAATGCGTAACTTTATTTTATATAAACCAATAATTTTATAACTGTTGTTAGTTAATTATAACAAAGTTTTATTTTTCACTTTTGATTTCACTTTACTTATTAATTTATGTGTATATATATATCTTGTTTTTGATTTCAAGGACAAGTGAGCTTTAATTAACTGCAAAAAAAAGGAGTTTAGAAGATTCCGTCATCATTTTTTTATAACAGCTGGCTCTGCCTCTGCAAGGTAATCATGCAGTATTTTTCGTGCTAGTCGGCATAAGCCCCGTTCCTGCCACAACAACATTTACGCTAAGGAGATTCCAGTTTTTAGGAGTGACTACAATGAGGAAGCACGAATTTAGTAAAGCATCAAGTGAGAGCCAAATAGTAAAATGTCGGCTTGAGCGTGGAAAACGGAAACAATAAAATGATTGTCTGTTAGTAATGTTGCGTATGTGGCTTCCCTTCCCTGGCTTCATTTTGTGGAGGAGCAGCCTTGGGCTGGGCCCTACGTCGATTGAATACATGTGGTGCCAATTTGATATTAGCGCAGATTTTTCAGGGCAAAGGTTTTACGCACAAGGGAAGATTGTCCCCACTAGTCTTGGTGGTCTCGGATGATTATGACTCTTGTTATTTTAAAATGAGTTTGGATACAAAGTCAATATTATTATATCTTTTTAAAGTAACATAAATAAAATATGAAAAAATTTTAAATAATAAAATTAAAATGCATGATCCTACAATTTTAAATAGAATATTAATTTATGACGTAATTATGTATTTTAAATATTTATTTATTTATTTTTAATCGGTGGTATATGCTGTTTTAATTTGTCATACAGTTAACTTTTTAAAAAATAAAACAAGCAACAAAAGTTTCAATTATCTAGCTTGGAGGGATCTTAAGATCAGATTAAGGAAATTGTATCATGAGGTTTGCGATAACAAAAGTAAAGGTATTGCTTGGTTATTGTTTTTATTATTGGTTTTTCAAAGGAAAAAGAATGTGTGGATAAAAGGGAAATGATAATCTTGAAAAATATAAAATTGCAGTAATTATTTGAAAACAAAATTTTTGTTTTATCTTTGAATAAACCAATTGTATTAGATTAATCATTATTTCATCCAAAACCCAAGGAGAGCGGGTTGGGTTACCTCTGCTATAAATAATAGTAGACGAGAATGCAAGTTTTGCACATATACTTGAATACCAATCTCTAGGATCACCATGGATCTGTACTATGATTGTGTCCAACCAATTGAAGGGCTCTTAGCTTTGCTGGTTCTATATGTTTTCTGGAGATACATAGCCCGAAATTCTAACAAAAGTCGCATCCCTGAACCATCAGGGTCATGGCCACTCATTGGTCACCTCCATCTCCTAGGAGGGAAAGAAACACTTTGCAAGAAGCTAGGAGCGATGGCTGACAAATATGGCCCACTTTACTCACTCAAGCTCGGACACCGTCGAGTATTAGTGGTGAGCAGTTGGGAAATTGCAAAGGATTGCTTGACCAACAATGACAGAGCACTGGCTACGCGGGCAAGCATCGCAGCAGGGAGGCATATCGGCTACAACAACGCCATTTTCGCACTTGCCCCATACGGGGAATATTGGCGTAATATTCGTAAGATCGTCACCGTTGAGCTTCTTTCGAGCTATCGCCTCGAAAAGCTTAAGCACATCCGTTTCTCCGAAATGGACTTGTTCATCAAAGAGTTGTTCGGGCTATGTGTAGAGAATGCTGATAATTGCGCCCAAGTGACAATGAGCGAGGTGTTGGAACGGTTGACTTTTAACATAAACCTCAGAATGCTTGTTGGAAAACGTTTTTCTAGTAGCTCTTATGCTCAAGCACATAGTGAGCCATGGCGCTACGAGAAAGCCATAAAGCAAGCGCTGTATCTCAGCGGGATATTCGTCTTGGCGGATGCTCTGCCGTACCTTGAATGGATGGATATTCAAGGGCATGTGCGTTCCATGAAGCAGACAGCTAAGGAACTTGACTCAATAATCAGTGTTTGGTTGGAGGATCATCTCAGAAGAAAAAGGGAGAGCCAGGGTAGCTGTGAAAGCGATTTCATGGATGTTATGCTTGCAAACCTCCCAGAGGACGATGTGATATCAGGCCATACCCGAGATACTATTGTTAAGGCAACAACTTTGGTATGGTTCCTATATCCTAACGTGTGCTTTAGTGTTTATTAGTATTTACTAGCAGCTTGATGTTAATTTAAACCTTTAGAGATGGTTACACAACCTTCTTAGTTGATATTTTCTCAATTTCAAATTTATTTTAAAATTTGAATCTAACTTTTGAATCAATACCTTAAATTCTTAACATTTAATACATGTCCCTTGTAAGATAACTACAAATGAATTAACTTAATTGCA